AGACATGTTTCAAGAATCCTCGCGATTTCCGCACAGGTGTTGAGAAAAATCGCGAAAGTATTGAGCCAAGATGTTCGATATCTTTATTATTCCGTAATCTAGCCGAATATAAAAGAATACAAATTTACTTTTCGTCTAGACGGAAAACTCTGACCTGCGTTGACTTTAATTGCTTTTTCATTTCATTAAAACACCGAAATATTTAAAAGAGTGAAGTTGTCCCTTTTTCCAAGTTCCATGATGTGAACATGAGAAAAGTTGACAATGGAACCACGGTTCCGGAGAATCTGACGTAAATACGTCTCTGTAATGTAATGAAGTGTAATAATTCTTATATAAGATAAGTAATTGTGGTATTCTAAAACGTTTTTAACAGCACAATATTATCTACTCTACGACGCACTTCTTCTACAAGCGATTCACAGCTCAGCTCTTTCCGCAATAACGAAAGCGGATTGTTGACGGCAGTAATGAAACACAACCTTGCCGAGTAAACAGATGACGCAACAATTAGTTTCTTAGGTAACATAACAATGCACGCAGGAGTTCATATAAAAGCTGACCATTGTTGTCGGTCCACATTTACACATTGTTGATATGGATCTTACACAACTTCGTTACGTTTTTTGCCGAATGACCCTTCCGTATAGACGTATTTACGTCAAAAAGTAGAAGTAAGTCACTACACGACACTTAAATGGAAATGAGTGGTGAGCTTCAAGCTTAGGCCGCTCTAGTCCGGTGGAATAGTCTCGGTATCCATTGTAAATGAAGTTAGGTGGGCCTCAGAGATGTTCTGGGAGTGATGGCAGAGAAAAGAGTTCCTGCTTTTATACAGCCGTGAACCGAATCTCAGTCGTTCTATTCATTGGCTGACCATTTTCCTCAACATGTTGGCCGCCGAGCGGCCTACACCAAACAGCACAGCACTGGACCCGATTATCTGACGATGCGCTGTTCTGTTCGTTTATTCGCGTACTACAGATTTACCAAAGTTATTATTCTACTAGTTCTTCTTAACATGTCTCTTACGAACTGTAATATCTAATCTGTGGTACTTGACTGGGAATGGCAAAATACAGGAAACAGTAAATAAAAATGTCTTATTGTTTCTTGTGACTGAATATTTTTACTTGAACTCATATACATAATCTGCCTCAGTTTTATACCACGTGATATTCAGATTGTTCCATACGCTTACTGTTGTTGATAGAATCTTTGGAAGACAAAATGCTAGTTCAACAAAAGAACAAACTACCAGTCTGCAAAACACAATCACAGAACTATTCTTTAAACTAAATTCAGTTTCTAAAAACGAAAGGATATGATATCACACGTGGTTTATAACTTATTTTTCGACGTCGCCCCGCGTAGTGGGTATTACTAGGAACACAGAAATAATGGACCATTTTATGCTATGGGCTAATCCATGGTCTTCAGTAAACAGACAAGAGAAACGGAAGGACTTTTTGTAGGTAACCTAATTATTAGGTGAATGGAATGTATGAATTTATGAAAGATGTTTTTCTTACAGTATCTAACTAAAATGATTAGTATGATGAGAATCGTCAGAAGACAATGCTTTGAACAGGCGAAGACGAGAGAAGTAAGTTTTTCTGCAGTGAGGAACGCTAAAACTCCGCTATAAAGGCAACATCATCTAGTATTTTCTGTAACCTCTCTTCACTTACAGTGGGATGTCAGATTGATACATTACCGACTAGAAATGAGGAATAGCTTCATGCTCTGTTCGTGATGCATCTGACCGGTTCGAAGGCTTATTACACGCCATTTAGCTGTGAATGAAGCATGATGGCCATTGATTAAACCATTGGAAAGAATTAAGGAGGAAATTATCCTGGTCAATTCTAGGTTAATCCCTGAATTCGCTTTAAAATACTTGCGAAAGGAATTAAGTATCAGGATAGCCGGTTCATTAGCCAAGTTTCGAACTGCTTATCTCTCAAATACAAGACATGTATGGTTGCTGAACTAATTTGTTCGGTGATACAGTTAATTATCTGCGTTACGTTTACACAATTTTCTATCAATTTTATAATCACACACATCACTTTGGACTTATTTCTGAGTTTGTTTGCTGCCCACGATTCCTAGAAAAGGTTCGACTTTGTCCTTGAATATATCATATATTTAAATCGGTAATGTTATTATCTATCAGATAAAACGCCTATTTTATTTGCACTATCCAGATAATGAGAACAAATATTACAGATTTTTCCATATTTGACTGTGATACTGTGCTTTATATGCATGGACTCTTCACATTGAAGATATTTCGTAATAATAAGCTGATAGTCGCTCAGATACTCATGAAATTATGAAACTCTAAGATTTATATATGTGTTAAAAAGTTTCATCCACTGGATTCTATCATAGCCAAATTAATCCAGTCTACAGCTTTACATCCTCTTTAAGATCCAACTTAACATTATTATCTAATCTGCGCCTGTCTCCCAAACGGCCTGACTACTATCATGAAGCAGGAACAGAATTGCAAAGCAATCAAAATTAGCGTGTCTCACAGTGCAGCATGAAGACACGTGACACATTCCGAAGTGGGCGATGACGCCCCGAGAGTATTTGCCACCTTTCCAATTGACAGCAGACTTGGAGGTTCCCAGATTCATCCCGAACGAAGTAAAAGAAAAACAAAAGGAATTACAATGTATACATTTTAAGTCTTTTGAGGATAAGCATGTTATAGAATTTCGTCCGTTTCCTTTTCTGGTGTCAAGCTTGCTTAAAGATAAAAATTTCGAGGTCTGTAATATAATTAGCGTTTTGAATCTAACTGAATACCATTTGCCACAAACATTAAGCACTGCACTGTTCCATTGTACCTTTTTGGTACTGAACGCCTGCTTTTTTGCTGAACTATCAGTGGTTTAGGTGAACGCAGACATGCCAGATAGCATGTGTACAAACTCTTAATGAACGAGTGACAAATATCAACACGCCATCTCTGGTGTGTTCCCACGGTCAGTAATTTGCAATGGTCATGAGATCCAGGGTCAATCACTTACCCTGCATATGCACTAAAAGGGAAATAACCACGAGCTTAATTACATGTTTTAAAAACGATTACAAGTTGGGCAACAGCCATATCCATAACATAAGGAGCATAAAGAACGTACTGATAATTAGCGTCTTAAAAAGTACCGTCAGAACGCAAATCACTGGAAGTGTCTGCTTTTCATAGAAACAAAATGCCCACTTTTTGACGTAAATACGTCTATATTTTAGGGTCAGTGTCATTCGGCAAAAAGTGGAACTTCATTGTTATGTTACCTAGGAAACGTCAAATTTCATTGTTATGTTACCTTGGAAACATAATCTGTTTACTTAGCATTGTTGTTACCTATAAAACATTACATTACCTTACCTTACCTTACCTTACCTTACCTTACCTTACCTTACCTTACCTTACCTTACCTTACCTTACCTTACCTTACCTTACCTTACCTTACCTTACCTTACCTTACCTTACCTTACCTTACCTTACCTTACCTTACCTTACCTTACCTTACCTTACCTTACCTTACCTTACCTTACCTTACCTTACCTTACCTTACCTTACCTTACCTTACCTTACCTTACCTTACCTTACCTTACCTTACCTTACCTTACCTTACTTACTTACTTTTACTTAAGTATCAAAGCTAACAACAAGGGTTAAAATGTCAGGCTGTGAGAATTTAAAAAGTTATTTTCTCAAGACGGATGGCCCAGAATTTAAATTCGATTTAAGCACTTACATTTGAAATATAATCATGCCTGATACTGTGGCAGTAAAGCGAAAATTATCAACACTAATAATACAAAAGTCCGCCACTGCGTGGTCTAATCTATCTTCCAACTTCACACTCTGTTTTCTTGTGATTAACTTTAATTTTCTCTTTCATCTCATTGTTTCTCCAAAATGTTTTCCCACCAAAATTCTGTCTGCATACTTTGACTAGAGGTCCAGCAAATTATAACCTCTCGTTGAATAAAAATCCAAACTCCTAGCTTAATTCCTTCTTGTTAGATCTGGTGTTATCAATTTCTTTCAAAACCCTTGCAACTTTTATTTTCCAAAAACAACAGACCATATTTCACAGTTATTTTAAAATAAAACTTACAAAAACGGTTAGGTCTATATCCGTACCTCCAGCGTTTTGAAAAGTAAATTTGATGATACCATTTCTCAAACTGAATAATGACAAGCGTTTCCAGAAATTATTCCTTTTTTTACTTCGTCATGAATCTAATTCTTGTTTCGTAATGTTGTTTACAGATAGTTCACTTAAGTTGAAAACAACTTAAAATTATGTGTGTTATATTCTTTCTTTATTACAGATAGTCATATCAAGGGCACGCTGAATATGGAGGTTACTCACCTACAAGACAACACGACGTTACAACCTAGATCATAATCCATTTTTTTGCAGCCGTGAAGACCCCGAGTCTCGTATTGTAGAAACGTATGGTTTTCATCTACGATTCATTTAACGGCGCTGACACTAGCTCAGATTATATACCATAAAATAACAGACTACTCAGAGAATAATGAATTGGAAAGGATGTGGAAGGAGGCCGTCGTCGCAAATGTAAGAGGGGCTGGGGAAAACATGAAAAATCTCAATTAGGATATCCCGTTTCCGGGACGTGATATGAACCTGTGACCTTCCGAACAGAATGCGAGAGTGGTAACTACTCGTCCACGAAGTTTGGTGGTTTGCAGGGATCGATTATACATTCCAATTAGATAGTCTAATTTAAGACTGAGGAATGAGTGAAGCCAGTCTATTATTAACAATTATAAGACATGCTGATATAATAAAGCAGTTACCTGGGAGAGGAATTTTCTCACGAACTTTGTACCAACCATCGTCCTATTATCTTCATCCATCCATCCAGCTGCAGGATGATGTAGCTGTATCTAGTCATTTAACTCTCCCTGCTCTTCACCCCGTCCTCCGAAGCCATTGGCTGTATAAAACAGCCATGCCCTGTCTTGGTTAACTCACAGGTTCAAGTTCAGTGCACTCGAGAAGGTTGTTTCTTCAGACGATCTAAAACCTGAGCTCTTCCAGGTGAGTAGACGCATATGTTAAGAGCAGGAACTGACTTGGCTGTACACAGCAAGTATCGAATATAATTAAATTACTCTGAATCGTTACCAAATTCATATTCATTTTCGAATATTCTATATTTCGGTACAGGGAATTTGAATCGATTATATAAACTAAAATATTTATTTTTGAATTAAAAAAACATCGAAATACAAAGACAAGGGATTTAAGACATTTCAATCAAGCATAATACATATTACGTAATAATAAAACATGATAAGTTTTGGCTGTAACAAATAATATAATTCAAAGTCTAAAGTCACGAAAACATGCAACATAACAATTTGAAATCTGTAGCAGAAATTAAATCGGAAAATTTAAATTTTTTAACGGATATATAGGCTTGCTAACCTATTCATTGAAACGCGTTGACGTGGAAACGAACGTTGACTAACGCGTCTCGTGCTAGAGAGTTCACTGCTTTGTGAACAAATTTCAGTCGACGTTGCAGGACTCATATTACCGGAAATGTAAAGATTTGTGTGATACGACATTTAATGCCGTAGTTATTCTAAAAATCGTACTGCATTATTCAATGTAATTGTGTCAGATATAATACAAACAATTCTATGGACCAGAAACCTATAGTAGTTGCTCAGATGCTCATAAACTATCCCGAAGTTTAATTAGGTTACCCACGTAATGTCTTCTCTTCAGGGTTTTCGACTAAAATTTCGTAAGAATTTCTCATTTCTGCCACGCCCTGTCCCTCCCATTCCATCCTCCAGGCCGAGATTTTAACTCGGGTCCTCTTGAATACTATGTGTCATAATTTATGCAATATTATCAAAATAAGTTTTTTGAAGCGTGTGTACAAATCCACAAACTGCTAAGTGGACGTACGTTCGCTGTGCTTTATTTACAGGACCCACGCACCATGCACTCCTGGGTATTTTTCTGCTTTGCACTTATGTTCTTGAGCGCCTCCGTGAATGGTTTTGGAGGAGCTGATGACCGATACATCAAGAAGTACGCCATGATGAAGGTAATCACATTCCTTCACATCTCCCTGTTCTTGAAAATCGTTTAATGTTTCTTACCAAACTACAAAAATCAGCCACACTTCTGAAAAAACTGCATATGTAAACACGGTTAATAATTAAAGAGTAACTGCACAATTAAAAAAAGAAGCTATTATTAACTGCAGGTTCGATCCTCGGTCAGCCCGTCAGATGTAAATACAACGTATCGTTCCGGGGAACAATTTCTCATCAGTCTGATATATTGTCAGCATCCAATAACGTACTGATTAATTGTAGTTAACTAACTATATGGAGAATAACATTAATTTATTTTTTAAATCAGAGAGCAAGATAATGACACGGTGTCTAATTTAGCGCTTCTCTTTCTGTATCAACTTGTATTGAGTGAATAATTGTAATGGGCTGAAATCTCATCCAAGTAATCCTTTTGCTAATGTAAAAGCTTGCAGAGAAACCTCTGAAACGTCGGTAAACTTTCACCAGACTACACGGCTTAACATCTCACAAGAGTCACTTTCGTACTCGCCGCCGTGAGAACTTCAGATCTTACCACTGTGATAATAAGATTCTTATTTATTTGAATACTACA